TTTGTCCAGGTCTAGGGCAGCCTGCACGATTTTCTTTTCTTGAATCCTTTGGATGTGCTCTCTTGTGATACGCCATGTGCCCTGTATTCTTCTTATGAACCACACTCAGATTTGTCCAGAGGCGCAATTCATGCAGTGTACAATTTTAGCTTTCTGTTGCTTTGACAGAATACCTTCTCATCATAAGAGTTCTGTGATATAATCTTTACAGTTTTACTCTCTCTTCAGTTGTCGTGCTTCACAAAAACGGAATCCATTTCATACACTTTGCTGCGGAAGTCCATACATTCCTAAATCCTGCTTGTGAGTCTTGTATCTGTTTCTTGACAGGAGCAACAGTAACAGCATATCGAAGCTTTCTCCTGTTTGGGGATGATACCTTTCTTGTATATACGTTATCTATGCGTGTCTAGAAATTGAAAGGATCATATCCATTTTGGATCTTCATAAACAAGAGCGACGAGGAAACTCCATTAAACAACGGTATTATTGTGCCCATAAAGGAGCACTCCGTGAGCTGTCAGAAGTTTAGTTCTTAAAGAATCAGGTCAATTGAAACTTTAGCATTCCAGTAATTACTTAGTCTGTAGATATAACGGATACACAGAGGTTTCAAAAGCTGTCACGTTTCAGAACCACAGCTACCAAAAATTTGTTTAAACTAGCTCAGATGACGATCAACACGTGATTTATGCAGACATTAAACGTGCTAACAAATTTTGATGACAATTTGATGACAAGTGCCGATTGATGTTGACACATCTGTTCTGTCGGTCATATCCACCAGGTGCATGTCATCTTCGATGTCAAACGGCTTTGAAACGAGGAACAGCAGACTAAAGGAATACAGTGGAAGTCGGCTACGGTCACCGCCACGCGTTGCGCATCGCGTGTATACGGGCTTTGAGAATAAACATTGCCGGAGCGTCAAGAAACGGCGTTGTGGCTTTTTGTGTGCCGACCAGCTACCGTAGTCACCGTTTTCGTGCGGGTTCGCTTGACAAGCAGCACCGGTACCTCCGGCAGTGGTCGTCATGGTCGTCGTTGGGGAACCGGTTTTGGGGGATTGTGCAGTGTGCGGTTCACGGGTCTCCCACGGTTAGGAGACAAACGGGAGTCGG